TGTTCTCAATGCCTTTTCCTTTCTCCTCCCCTTCAGGAACACCCATGATTCATATGTTTGTGCATCTAAGGTTGTCTGCTATCTCTCTTAGATTTTCTACATTTTTAAAATTCTTTTTTCTTTCTTTTTTTTTTTTTGTTAGCCTGAGTTATTTTGAAAAGACTGTCTTCAAGATCAGAAATTCTTTCTTCTGCTTGATCTAGTGTGCTGCTCAAGCTCTCAGTTGTGCTTTTTATTTCTTTGAATGACTCCTTTAGTTCTGTATTAGTCCGTTTCTGTTGCTTATAACAAAATAAACAACTGTCTGATTTATAAAGGGAACAAAATTTATTGCTTACTGTTTCTGAGTCCAAAGTACATCTAGGGGTGGTGACAGTGACCCAGGGCTCTCCCATTGCAAGATGGTGGAAGCAGAGAGAGCAGAGAGACAGATTCTCCTCTCTCTTCTTTAAAAGCCCTCAGAACCATGCCCCTGACCACCATTTTTAATCCATTCACTGTGGCATGGTCCTACAATTTAATCACCTCTTCAAGGCTCCACCTCTCAATTACCATAATAGGATTTTTTACCCTCTTAACAGGCACAGTGGGGACCAAGTTTCTAATACATAAAATTTGGGGGACACAATTGAAGCTTCAGTGAGTTTTGGGGGAACGTAATTCAATCCACAACAAGTTCCATGAGTTCTGCTACATTCTTTTTTAAAGTATTATTCTCTTTGTAAATTTTCTCTTTCAGATCCTGGATAGTTTTGCTCAGTTCATTGTGTCATCTAAATCAGTCTTCTTGTATCTCATTGAGTTTCCTTAAGATTTTTACTCAAAATTCCTTTTCAGTCATTTTAAGTGTTTCCTGTTCTATGGGGTGTGATACTTGAGAGTTATTTTGTTCTTTATTTGGACTTATATTTTCTTGTTTTTTTTCTTATTTCTAGTATCTCTACATTGATGTCTGATCATCTGGTGCAGCAGTTGCTTCTTCTATTACTCTAGAGTGGGCTTAGAGGAGAAAGACTCCTGTAGATGTGTTTTATATTTATCATTGAGTAACACATTTCAGCATTGGTTCCAGGTGGACACAGTTGTGTAGTCTCTCCATCTGGGTACTTTGTCCATAGTCAATATTGAAGTTGCATGTGACTCTGGCCTCGGCACTGGGGCACTTAGTGATTTCTTGCTGAGGTTATTGACACTGTGTTAGGTCATTGAGGATGTGGGTGAGATCTTAAGTTCTTGTGAGGAGTGCTTCAATGCCTTGTCAGTCTTTGGTCGGGGTGGGCTTGTTGGCACTCTGGCTAGTGTCCTTTGACCCTTATAGTTGCACTGGGAGTTTTCTTCTTTACTTAGCTCTCCTTGGTTTCTGCACTCTCCAGGTGTTCTGCATGTGTCTCTCCCTGGATTGTGGCAATTGCATGGGCTGCACACATAACTTCTACCCCCTGGTGCACTACTTTGGGGTGCAGCATAATTCCCCCTGTGGGTTGGGCCACTGGATCATGGGTCTGTGCTTGCTCACCTCCTTCCCTGGATTCTGCTGGTGACCCTCCTTGTGTCAGGGCAGTCCAGTGGTAAGCAGTCTGCCTGCACAGCAGCTGTAGCTGTTGCAGGTGCTGCTGTGGTGGCAGGCTGCCCTTCAGTGGTGGTGGCTGTGGCAGTGGCTTTGGTGGGCTGCCTGCGTGACATGAGTGGCTCTGGCAGCAGTGGGCTGCTTGCATGATGATGGTGGCTACCTGTTGGTGCCAGTGTTTGCAGCAACTGCAGCAGTGGCCGTTGCAGTGGCTGCCTGTTTGGCTGCAGTGGCTGAAGTGGCAGCCTGCACAACTACAGTGTCCACAGTGGCTATGGGGTTACCCAGGGGGGGAGCAGAAGTGGTGACAGCAGCTGCTACCACCTCTAATCATACTTTTTGAAAAAACAGTGAGCATGTGTGCATGCAGAGGAAGAATAACACATCAAACTAACTGGTGAGGGTTACACTGGTGATTTCCAGTGTTTTCATGAACAATTTCTTTGCACTCTTGTTGGTGTGTTTTACTTTATTTTAATTAATAAACTTTATTTTTTAGAACAGTTTTAGGTTCACAAAATAATTGAGTGGAGGGCACAGAGAGTTTCCCAAACCCTCTTTCCCCTCACACATGCAGCCTTTGTCACTGTCTGCATCCCATACCAGAGTGGTGCATTTGTTACAGTCGATGAGCCTACATCAGCACATCCCTATCACCCAAAGTCCATAGTTTACATTAGGGCTCACTCTCCGTGATGTACATGCTATGGGTTTTGACAAATGTGAAATGACATGTGTATTAGTTTATTTCTGTTGCTTATAACAAAATACTTGAAACTGGGTGATTTATAAAGAAAATGAAATTTATTGCTTACAGTTTCAGAAGCTAGGAAGTCCAAAGTCCAAGGAAAACATCTGGTGAAGGCTTTCTTCAGTACTGACTTCAGTGACAGCAGAGTATCACATAGCGAAAACGGTGGAATAGAGAGAACAGAGCAGAGCGAAATCTCCTCATTCACTCTTTTAAAGCCCTCGCAGCCACACCCTGACCACCATTTTTAATCCATCCACGACTGCATGGGCCTATAATCCAATCACCTCTTCAAGGCCTCACCTTTCAACTACCATAATAGGATTCCCCACCCTCTTAACAGTCACAGTGGGGGCTAAATTTCTAATACATAAAACTTGGGGAACACAATTCAAGCTTCAGTGAGTTTTGAGGGAGCATAATTTAATCCACTACAACATGTATTCATCATCACATTATTAAACAGAATAATTTCACTGTCCTAAAATTCCTCTGTGCTCCACCTATTTATCCCTCCCTCCTGGCAGCTGCGGATTCTTTTACTGTCTGTCTCTATGACTTTCCAAAATGTAATATATGGAATCATACAATATGTTGACTTTCTGACTCCTTCCTTCTCTTATGCATTTAAAGTTCCTTGCAGGGAAGGGCATGTGTGTACAGAAGGAGCATCAGAAGACAAATTCACATCAGAGCCCAGAGTTCTTAGAGAGTAGAGACCAGATGGAAATGGGGTTCCAGGAAGGGAGCTCAGATTAGCATCCAAGAATCCTAATGCAAGTAGGAAGGAAGAAGCAGGAAGAAGCAGGGATTCCAGACCAAAAAATGGATTTGCACAAATGATACCGTGCTTGACCCAAAGCCAACAATTGCTGCTTTCTGTCCATAAGAAGCTGCAAGTGCTGGTGGGAACACAGTGGAAACCAGAGTGAGCCAAGGCTCTGTAGGTGGTGGTAACTGTTGGTGCTGGCAAAAAAGGCTAGGATTGCTTCCTAACAGAACTTCACGTTGCTATTCTAAGTCGTAGGTAATTAGACTCTTCTGAATGTGTAATTGTAGAATCTTCCAGAACATAATGGTTTTGTTGTAGTCCCTTACAGATTACCTCTATTTTCAGGAACTTGTCCAAACTTTCCTTTATTGAGCGTTCTGAGTAAGTGTCAAGCTAAGTGCAGAGTGGATCGATGGAATATTAAAGGTGATTCAGACACAGTTCCTCAGCCCAAGTTGTTCACAGCCTCTTAGTAAAATACATAAGAATGGGAACCACACATTCGGGTACAATGTGATGGCCTAGAAGAGTTGAAAAAGGTTTTGAGTATGTTTGCTTGTCAACTCTGTGATCTGAGGCAAACGACTTTAGAGTCAGTTTTTGCATTGGTGTAATACCCATTTTAATACCTGCTATGGTGCCTGGTACAAGGTAAATACTTAATGAAATATTGCTGCTATTATTACCATCATGCCATCAGAGGAATATAGGTAAAAGGCAGCACAAATTAAAAGGAATTGAATAGAAAAATAAGAATGATAATATCTCAGAATTATTGTGAAAGTTAAAAATAATATTTTTCCTTCAAATTACTTAAACATACAAAGAATAGCCATTGTTAAACTCTCCTGTTACTTCTAGGAAAAAGAGAAACAATTGCTGCTTATTCTTTTAGACACCATGGTTACTTTTTCTGTTTGCACAAGAGTAAACTTCTCCCCAAAGAGTGCTCAGTGGGCTTTTTTATTGCTTTGTGCACCCACAGATTTGGAAGTCTTGCAAATTTTTGGCCTTGGACCATTCTGGTCTATCAAGTTGTTTGTTTCTCACTTACTGTAAAATCTTCCTGTAGCATTTTTGGAAACAGAATTCAGCCCTGCTCTGTGCTTCATTTCCAGAAGATCCCACAGCCAACAAAGATTCTGGCCAAGAGTCAGAGTCTATTCCAGAATATACGGTCGAAGAGGAGCGGGAGGACAACCGGCTGTGGAGGACGGTGGTGATTGGTGAACAGGAGCAGCGGATCGACATGAAGGTCATCGAGCCCTACAGGAGGGTCATTTCTCACGGAGGTAGTCAAGCTCTGTGCAAATCTGGGAAATGGGGAAGGGGGCAGCCATATATTTTTTTTTATTAGAAAATGAAATGAGAGCGATTTGTAGCAGCATATCCAAAAGACCCTATCCTGCAGTCAGTGTTTAGGGGACTCTTGAGCTAAGTATATTAGCTCATACTTCATTCAATAAACATTTGAAAGCCTACTATGCAATGTAAAAAATGCTTTTCATGCCACATATCTGATAGCTATACTCTTCTGTGCAAATTTCATGAAAGCCATATTTGTCCAATTTGATAATGTTTGTTCGGAATTTCTATCAGTTAGTTGTAGGGTTGAATTGAATAGTTCAGCCTACGTAACACCATGTCATAAGATCACTGTACCAGAGATGCTTCTAATTACAAAATAGTCTTTTGAATCCTCTTCAGAAGCTTTAAGAAATCTTTTTAGGCTCCACCTGGTAATTTTTTCCTTACTCGAAGTTTACCTTTCTATAAACTACATTAAATCTAGGCCTGACAACAGCCAATCCCAGTCAAAGCCTCCACTTGCTTAGTGAGGGACAAGGGAGAGAGAAAAGTGTGTTTTGTATTTCCACTGCTTTCTCAGGGGCTCCAGGAGCGTTTATAGCCTTGATTAATTTGGGATTCACAAAAAGTCAGGTGAGCACAGGCAACACATTCAATGCTGTCGACTTCAGAAAACACCCATGGCTTCTGACTTTGCTGCTGCATGCTCTCCTTCCCCGAAGGCCTGAGGCACCACTCTCCCCACCCAGCTGTTCTTGAAAAAGAGCGAGCTAACAAGGCAATTGTTGCTGTCTACCTTCTCTCATCCTTAGGACAAGGAAATGAGAGTCTTGGCACTGCATTAAACCTATAGCTTTTGTTTTCTAAAGAGCAGGAGGCCATGTTTTTATTGCAGTCAAACAGCCCACCACCTGCAGATTCTTCACCTCCTATTCCATGCACCTCCACGTAAGCTTCAGGACGATCCAGGGAACTACCATGATAGGGAAGTAGAATTCCAGTCGTGCCCCTAGCCATGACTTTTCTTTTCTCTTGCCTCCCGATTTTGACCTGCAATTGCAACATGGCCCAGTGAGAGCTGCTATGGGGCCAGGGGCAGTTTCCTCTAGGAAAAACCTTTCCCACAGCCCTTCAGAATGAGGGCTGGGCTAATGTTGCTGAAAGTGACAGACATCTGGCCATAGAGTCAACCCTTTTGTTCTTACCTGAAAACCGCAACCGGAACTGAAGATTATCCAAATCTTCCCAGAAAGTCACACCTCCCTTGCACCATTCATCAGGTATTTTTGATTTGTTTGCTTTTTGGAAATAAAAACAACACAAAACAAAGGCTGACTGTAAGAGTAGCCTGTGCTCATTCTAAAAACAGGGATAAGAAAGGTAAAAAATCTGTCAAAGTAAATCAAAGTCACTCAGTGACAAACCTGATAAACATTTTTACCCTCAGCTCTTAAGAGTCCCCATGTTGAAAGAGACAGGCTCACGGTTTTGCTGCTATCTTGAGGCCGGGTTACCTCTTAGGGCTCTGGTAGACTCAGCTACCTGTCCTTTCAGCCATGGTGAAGTTAGGTGGGCTGGGTGCATGGGATAAGCCATCAGCCTGCAGCCCAAATCTGAAAAGGTGACATCATCAGAAGAAGCCGCTGCTTCTGCCTGTCACAGTCTTTGTAAAAATGTCCTAAGGTCGGGGCTAACCTAGTTTACTGAGCTCTCCATCCCTGCCAGCCCCTCTCCTTGCTGTTTGCTTCTGTCCCTTCTGTGTTGCAAGCTTGGTTCTTGTCTGTGTGACTGTCCCATTTGTTTTGAAGAGAAGGCCACTTTTCCTCTCTCCAGCTCCACTTTGACCTCTTCCAGGCGCTGGCCTGCATGACGCACCTCTGGCTGCACCCATCCAGAACTTTGGCAAGAAACCACCTTTTCCCATACCCCAAACAGCTTTTGTGCTCTGTAGGTAAAGGATAGTTCGATGTTACATCTGAATTTACCAAAGCTACGTCTTTTGTATTGGAAGCTGACACCACTCTCTTAGACCTTAATGAGGATAAAGCTACTTAGTTACCAACCCACTGAGTTTGTTATCCTGGTGAGCATTTAAAAAGCAGCACTTGCTGCACAGTGAACATGTATCTTGTTTGAGTGCCTTCCATTCTGCAATGAGGAAGTTTTCCCATTCAGGCCAGTAGGGAAGTGCTGGCTGTGCAGTGTGCTGTGTAGAAAACTGCAAGGTAGGAGCGATGCCAGGCCCTGGCATGTGTCCACACCGGCTGGGAACACTGGTGCATGAGAGCAGTATTTGAACACATAATTCAGTCTTCAGTTTTGGTGACATGCATATGAGCTATTGCCAGGTCCCTGTACACAATGTGGAAGAATGGAGTTCAAGGCCCACCTTCGCCACTTACTGG